TCAATAACATGTTTTTATTTTTATCTTCAACATGACAGACACTCGGAGTCCTGCAGATGTGGGGATCTGTGCAGGGCCCCGGGCTGGACGCTGTGCCTCTATTCACACTGCCTAATTTGCATCACCTTTTTCATTAACTCATGATAGAACCAATATCTACTAAAAGTCCTTAGTTGTTTTCCCTAGAACTGCTATAACGAAAAGTCTCTTCCTCCTAGCCTATACACATGTGAAGCAGATTTTTATTTACCCAAGTACAGGACCTTAAGTTTCTTATTAAACTGTTTTCTGTTGTTTTTGGATTTTTGTCCCAAATGTCAAGATCTTTTTAAAATCTGTTCTTCTTACCTAGCCTATTAGCCACCCTGCCCAGCTTTGTGCCAGCTGCAAATCTGATCAGCGGGTCTTTTAAGTCTTGCTCTATGTCCCTGATGAAAATGTTCAACAGGACAGAGCCAAAGACATAGTCTTGAACTGCCCATTTTCAATAAATGAATACAAATATTTTTTGTTTGTCTTTCACTGTGTTCCTTTCATTGTGTACAAGGCTCCTAATAAACAAAGAGGTTTGCACTGGGCAAATCAATAACCATCACTATTATCTGACCTGGTGATAATAACAGTAAACACTAATCACAACCCAACTTCAGCCAATCTAGTAGCACAGCAGCATTAGTCAGAGCGAGGGAACATATGGCTCTGTCCACATCTGCTCTGAGGCATCCAGATGGAAGAGGAGGTGGGCCAGGGCGGGGGTGAGTGTACAGTGGAGTAGGGAGGATGGAGGAGGGAGCAGACAGGTGAAGGCTGACAGGGGAATGGGGCGGGGACTAGGCTCTCAGATCAATCTCCATGATTGTGTGGTTAATGTGCACACAGCACACAACAGCTGCTGGTGGCTCCCATCCGTGACCGTACAACTGTATGACAAATACTTCCTGTCACACGTAGAGAGTTGTGTCTTCTGCTTTTTGGTTAATGGACCTTTGACGCGCCTACTCAAATCACTTCTTCACAGGCCTTACCAGTCTTTGTAACAAATATATGCTAATGTTTTTCTTCTCTGTGTGGCTGTTTCTTTGAGCTATCACCAAGCGTGGGTCCTGTGCTGCCCTGGTCCTCCCTAACTCTCCTCCACAGCTCCCCAGAAGCTGGTACATCTTGACTTGTACATCTCCCTACATAAAAGAACACTCAGCTAACTGATAAAAGATATAAATTCAAGCACAGTCCTTGCTTAAAACAACATTTAACCCTCTATGTGCCTTGGTTTCAGAACCAAAAAAGGAAAAATCATGACTGCAGTTTTTTTGTAAGACTAAGTAAGACAGCATGTGTCAAGGAAGTAGATGCTAATTAAGTATTAGCTGAATCTGAGTCCATATCAGCAGAAGACATGGGCTTGACTTATTCCAAACCTCTGGCTTTGATTATTTATAAACATGGGCAGGATTAGCAAATGGGTTTTGCAATCCTCAGTGTTTTGCCAATCACCCTTCTTGGCCTCCTGAGAACATGTTGAGGATCTTTTACAGTATTCTCACATTTGTACTGATTCTTCCATTCACTCAACATTTGCTGTCAACTCTGTGCCAACCCTGGGCTGAGCCCCAGGCATACAAAGATGATTGAGGCAAGATCCTGGCACTAAACTGTCCCACAGTCTAGTGCCCATCACCCACAATAACAAACACCCCCAGACACACACACACGCACACCACCCAGCAGCAACACCAGCAGAAGCAAAAGTTCACATACCAGACTCTTACTATATGCAATATACTCTGATACTTTATGTTCTATTTTACTTTTTAAATTGACTTTACCACCCACTAATAAGATGTTGACCCATGGTTTTAAAAGCTCTATTTTGGTGTTGAATATGTACACTAAGTTCTATTATCATTTACTAGATTGCTATGGGAATGCCAAAAAAAAAAAAAAAAAAAAAAAAAA